GCATATATAGCCAAATATAAAAACATGAATGGAAATTAGAGATACCAAGTTTAGATAACGGTAACCTCCGTTCCATCTGGGTTTTAAAGGACAGAGAGGATTTAGCATCGCAAGTGGAGAGCAATGGGCATCTTGAGCAAGGAAAATAACAGAAGCTACACAGCAAGTTGGGAAAGGGTATGGTGTTTGGTGAGCAAAATGTGTAATGTCTGACGAAAGCAGGGAAAACTTTATTTAGGACTCTACAGCCTTAGCTAGTTCTAAGTCAAAGAGGTATAGCTATATTAATATTTATTATACAACTTATTAGTGTATGTAGTTGTCTTCTTTTCCAGAAGACAAATGGCCTGGAAAAGAATAGGCTATACCTTAAAACCAAAAATCTAATCTGAATATGGCAAAAGAATTACCTTAGTTTTAATTTCTTTGCCTATGAAATAAAATTTAAGTAGACAGTCCCCAATTGACTTATATCATTGGCCCACAAGTTTCTACTACTCACTGCACGCTGAATAAATTGGTGTCCATAATTCAATTCTGGCTCCCTGGATAAATTTTTTCAACAAGTTTTTAAATAGGCCTGGCAATTCTCATTCACAATAAGAATCATGCTTATCTCAGCAATTCTAAAAGAATGTTTTGACCGAGGAAGTCTGACCACATGGTGGCAGGGAAGCAGCTGGCCTCGCCCACACCTGTCTGAAGGCCTCACAGGCATGGACGCTGCTCTGCGCCCAGAGGAGCTCAGCAAATCCTGCACAGCTGCCCCCTGGGACCAGGCAGGGGCTCTGCCCTCCTGATGGCCTCCTGACTAGGGAGCAGGGGGCTGGAGACCCCACTGGAGGCCTATCACAGCAGACACGCCCAGACCGAGGCATGCACCTCCAGGGAGGGGTGAGTCCCCAGACAACTGCCCGACTGCTGTTATCCAGCACTGGCTGGGCCTGCAGAGGACTTCTCCCCGGCGGCCACCTGGACCAAAACAGCCCCAAAACAGGAAGAAACCAAGGGAGCTTCCTGGGGTGCAGGTGCAAGCTGGGCTGGCACTCAACTGGAAGGGTTCCAAGACACCCGGTTTGAGGAAGGAGCCTGGGCTGGGCCCCGCTCCCTCGCCTCTATGAGGACAGGGCCTGGGTGGTGTCCGGGTTGAGGATAGGTCAGGTGAAGCTGGACCCTTAGTGGAGGTGGACAGGGGTGTTTGTGACTTCTGGCCCATTACTGTTTTAGTTTGTCAATTACAAACTAAAACAGCTTTGTAACCACCTCCAGTAGGTGTACCTGTGGGAGTGAAAGGCCACTTTCACCAGGACTGTGGGAGGGAGCCTTCAAAGGCACCTCTGACAGTTCCTGGGAGGCCCTGGGCAGCAGTGAGCAAGCTGGGAGCCTGAGAGGGGGAGGGGAGAGGGGGTGTGCCTGGCGGGGCCTCACCTGGTCAAGGTGCTATTTAAGCTGTGGATTTGAAGCAGGTGCAGTAGTGTAACACACAGCCATCTACACACACACTTGTTTTCCGTATTCTCAGTGCTTTTTCTGATCTGTTTCTGATATTAGAACCACGAGCCCATGATGGATGTGGGACTCTTCTCAATCGCTCTTTAAATTGTCACTTTCAAAATTGTATTTAATGACAAATACATTAAAAGTGTTTTATTCCTAAAAAAAAAATTTTTTTTGAAGTTGCTTCTAAGGTTTTCAGGCTACTAAACCATCAGTGAACTAATAAGGTAAAGAAATTACAGAACTTGAGGACACTTCTATTATTAGAATAATCTCCTATATTTCTCTTGGCTACAGAGAAAAGTAGCAAGATAAAAAAAAATGTAACCACGCCAATATTCTCAGCTAGCTTTGTAAGAGACTTACGACTCATGTCATTTCCCAAATATTTCCTAAAATCTAAGACAGCAACAAAACACCTTGTTAACCAAGTATACTCAGTTTTCATCAATATGATTCTTTTTTTCTACACTTTATTGTATACAAGGCCAAATAAAGATATTTTAATGTGGGCATTATTGGGGCTTTGATAAAGGGACATTTTGACTAGACCTTAAATATAAACTAGTACATTTCCAAATTGAGTGGGAAAATTTATGTTATATATGAAACAGATATCCTCATAGCTTCCCTGAGCCTTCCTTCCTTCCTGAGCGAACTTTCCTCTGCCTAAAGACAGCAATCAAAGATGCAGGAAGATCAGGGACTAGAGTGAGGGTCAGAGGCAAGGTACAATTAATTCACGGATGGGATGAGATGGGCATGGACCATTATCTGGACACAAACTAAGTGCATAAGGAGGAGAAAAATTTTTACTTTCTCATCTTAGAAAGGTCTATTCTAGGGGAAACTTCTATTTGTCAACTGATAATTTACTTCACTTCAATAGTCTGTATCTCAAAATCTGATTTTTCTCCAAGTTACCATTCATAAAAGGGATCTGGCTGCTAAATGGTGGAACTTTTTAACATTTAAATATCAAAAGGCGAGTACCCCCTCTCTTTATATGCTCCTGATTATGCATTTATTATGCAGTGGAATGTAGAATATTTGTAGCCACAGTAGTACCCCTGTTCTCAAGCTACAGACTGCACAGAAAATTACCTACTTCTAATTGCTCCCTCAGAAAAGGATTTCATGTTTATCATAAACCTCCTTGCTGATTTCAGGGGACCAGGTCAATATCTTCTTAACTGCTTGTTATAACAGACTGACACAATATGACATACAATACACATATAATACAGTTATAACATTTCCAAACAACCCAGAAATGAAAAAGATGAATGCATCTGGTAATTGGTGTCATCAGGGAAATCTGTTGCACACACAACTTGATAACATCTTTTTTGAAAATAGCAATTCTGTATTTTGATGAGGCCATTTTGACCCCACTGTATTGCAGGCAAAACATATATACTGTGGAGGCAAATTTTACGGTTCTAAATTATTATAAAGGTTTACACTCACATTTACAGGAAGTTCAAACTTTTATATTAAATACACCCCAACTCAGTACTGTCTCAGTATTACAGGTGATCTACTTACTGTATTCCCCCTAAAATATGCACGATTACAAGGTAACTTTCATTAAAAGTACGAAAGTGACTATTTTCCTAAACTTAGAATACTACCTGCTCAATAGTTAGGGATACCTAGGAACTCGCCTCCTCCATTCTACTTACTCATTAAACAAACATTTAGGGTCTCTGCTCTGATGATCCGCTATCTTTGGGTCTCAGTGGAAAACGTATTTATAAAAAGACATAATAAATTTAGTCCCTACTGTGACCCGACCCTAGTCAACAACTGAAATGATTCTGGCCTTTTAAGTATCACCTTTCGGGGTACTATGTCAGGGGTCTGGAAGGACTCCACTCCATGTTTTAAGGGAGGTTTTTAGAAATTAAGGGATAAAGAAACGTGGGACAGGCACGCTGAGCGCGACCTCCGGTTGGAGGTTGATGACTGGGCTGAGGACCGCTGTCAGTCAGACGAGTTCTCACAAGTCCCGCGCTCAGGTTGGTTATAATCACCTTTCCTCCTGGTGCCTCCGCGGTCCCGTCTATAAAATGGGACAACTTAATAGTCACCTACCTGCACAGCGCTCCTTTGAAGGTAACTAATGAATGCTCTCCGGGTGCACTTAAAACGATCAGATGCTACAAAATCATGGAATAAGATCTCTAAAAGGAGACGGCGGTGTAAACCGCCAGGGCTGATTAAGGCACGGCAGCCCCCACCCCACCCCACCCGG